CTACTTAATACCCACATACTTTCAACATCTATATCAAATCTCACCTCTTCTAAAATTTTCAGACTCATGGCCTTTAGTTTTAGTGATCATTTTTTCTTTTAGAGCACTGTTGTGTCATAGTAAATCATATAAAAGTCAACATCCTAAGACAAAGAGCTGAATCCTGTCTCCTCTACTTAATAACTACGTGATCATGCAAAGACCTCTTAAATTCTTGGGAAGTTTTATTTGTAAATGGAATTATTTCTCTAATTTCTTTTTATTCCTATAGTAGGATAATACATCTACAGCCTTTCCCTCGTAACTTTGTAGTATCTGTCACTGTGGATGAAATATAACTTCGTTTCTGATGGATGTTGGCCTCAGCTACGTGACTTGGTTTAGTTAATAAGAGGTTAAGAAACATGACATAACAGAGGCTTTAAATGGGCATCCATGATTTAGTTTGTCTATTTGTGCTTCTGTAAGTCACTCTGAGGTTGACATACCTGAGGAAGTCATTGCTTCTTTATCCTGTGCCTTGGAATAAAGACGTATGAAGTGAAACCACTCCAACTCGAAGCTTGGAGTCAAGTACGACCCATCCAAGACAAACAGACAAGATAAAGAAACCAATGCGAACCTACAGATCAAAGACCAGAAGAAAAAAGGGAAGTAGTAGTTATAAGCCACTAATATTTGAGGTTCTTATATAGCCCTTTTCCAGGACAAGCTAACTGATCTGACTATCTCACATATTTTTGTGAGACAAATGATAGATGTAAGTGAAGATGATTTCAGAAATTACAAAATGCAATACAAATGATATTTGATTATTGCTACTCAGTATTATGAATTTGTATCCATTTCTTGTTTCCTTATCTAAATTTTAAATATGAGAGAGATAAACTATTATATGAGAAACAGAATCATTAGATAATTAGATAAGAGATAATTATATTTCTTATATTTGCCAAAATGCCCTACATGATGCCTTATACCAAGTAGGTACTAAAGAAGTATTAACGTTGCTGCTGTTAGCATGCCTCCCAAGTATATTTTGTTTATGTCTTTGTTTTTGTTCTTTTAGTTCTTCAGTTTTTGACATTTTCATGGTAGTATAAGATATTAAGAGGGTGTATTATCAAATCAAACTACTGATTTCAGAAACTGCCTCAAACTCTTATTATCATCGGGTCTTGGGCAAACTGCTTAAACCCTCAAAGCATTAACTTATTTATTTATAAGAATAATATTATTACTAATAATACATTCATCAACTAAAATTAATTACAATAATCATTTGGCAGTGATTGTCACATCATAAAATATCCAGTAAATAGCAGCTTTTATTATATTTTTAATATTTTAAATGTTCCTTTCTCCTCTCCAGAAATTTCTAAACAAACTTCTCAGACCATCTTATCCTTCTCTAGCCAAATATAATTCTTCCAGATAGACAGAAACACACACACAGACATGCACGCGTGCACACACACCTCTCGCAGGATTTTCCATAAATAGGTGGGGAACAGGAAAAAGTGATCTTAAGAACTCTGTGTTTTCTCTCTGCTTTCTGGTCATCTACGTGATGTTTCCAATGCCCCCCAAACAATTTCTATTCCTATTCACCTAACTAATGCTGAACCATCTTCAAATTTCTACTTAGAGGACACTGACCCTGGAGAAGCTTTCCCAGACTCCTCAAGGCTAAGCTGAACATCCCTCTTATAAAGAGCTTTCGTAAATTCGTGATTGAGGGCACTTAAAACTGCTTTTTGACTTGTCCATTTTTAAAACTGTACTGTAAGTTATTTGAAGGCATAGACTGTGTTCATCACTTTCACTAGAACCTGGAACAGTCCTGGCACATATTAATCACTTAAAAGTATAAGATAAAAGAATAAAAACGAAGAAAGAAAGGAAGAGAACAAGGGGAGAGAGACAGCGAGAGAGCATAGACTGTGTTCATCCTTTTCACCAGGACCTAGCACAGTCTTGGCACATATTAAGCACTTAAAAATATAAGATAAAAGAATAAAAAAGAAGAAAGAAGAAAGAGAATAAGGGGGGGCGGGGGAGGAGAGAGAAGGGAGGAAAGAAAGGAAAAGGTTACTTTTGTTTTTTTGCTTTTCAGAAGAGAATGTTAAAAGAGCAAGACAATTACTATAACATCATCAAAACTCATTTTCCATCTAAATCTACATTTTGTTTGAAATCACATGTCAGTGTGTTCTCTTCCACTCATCAGAGTAACAGGCTATTTAAAAACACCAACTCATCATAAAACCTATTTGAGACAAAATGGAATGAATAGAGTAAGGTGGATTTCTATTCTTTTCTTCCTTATTCTCCTTCTTGCTCATTTTAGAAAAAGACTCTTCTTCTTCACTAAAACCCTCCAGCAAGAAACAAATATAGAATATTTATCTCATCTACTTTTTAAAAATTAAGAACAAGAAATTTAAGTAATTATTTATTTAAAATATTTATTTGGGCTTTATATTTCTGGATAGGAATTAGACATAACAAGTCTAGATCTGGTTAACAATGGGTAAAAAAGAGGAAGATAAAAAATGGAGAAATTGATTAAAAAGGAGACAATACAAAGGAAAGAAGGAATACAAGAAACTTTAGAGTAATGTCTCTTCATAGCACTTCTGTTTTAATCCTAAATTCTAAATATCCCCCTCTGGGTATGAGGAGAAGAAAGGTCTACAGGATCCTAAAGTATTCTCTAATACTGAGGAACAGGACTGGAATGATATCCCTCTGGAGTTTGACAAAATCTAACTGAAATTAAAATATGGTTATCAAACCAGCAATTCACTATCTTTACTTAAAGGAATAATAAGTCAGGTGTTAATAACATAAATTAATAGTTTCCATTGTTCTTAATGTAAGTGGACAAGTATTAGATACAGCTTATCTGTGCTGCCTTTTATTTTCACATAACTACCTTCAAAAATTATTCAAAGAGTTCAAAGAAGAAAAAGTTGCAGAAAGAGTTGGATAAACAGACAAAAAAGAAAGAAAAACAGGGAAGAGCCAGTCAACTTAGCAACTTTAATTGTCCATGTGGATTATAACAGTGGATTTGTCTCAGTTAGAACTATCCAGTGCACTGGCCCTAAAATATACAGAAAATGACTAGGGGTGTTGTTGTTGTTGTATATTAATTTCTGCTATATAGACAGACTCAGTTCTCTTCCCATATTTGTCTGATATGTGCCGGCAAACAGAAGTCTCTCAAGAAATGTTAGTGAATGAGTAAAAACAAGATTGCATAAATAATCTCCTTATTTATCATCAGGGCCAGGGCTATTGCTGAGTCCCCAATTTATACCCAAAGTTGATTCCTCTGAAACAATGACACTTAATGTACACAGCCTCCCAGAGAAGAGGAGACAGCTCCTGTCTGTTATGTGACTGTAAGCCACTTGTCCAAACCAATTCTGCAGCAACAAGTGCCAAGTAGATTGGGAAAATGTACAGATGGCTGCCTGCATGCATCACTGGATTGGGCTGCCACCGCGGCCCATTGTTTTATTTATTACTGACAAAGTAATTAACTGCTTGACTCCTTCTTTTTAAATTGGTCATCCTTAATGGACAGCTGCACTGGGGGGGTGGGGGGCGCGTTGTACTAATCATGCCTTTGACAGGAGCGAGCTCCACAGCCCCACTGCAGCAGCTAGAGCCTTTGTGAGGTCATCCCTTTGCTGCTGGACAGAAACCCATGCTTCACTCTCCCCAGGGTCTTTTAACAGGCTTCCTCACTCCCAGAAAACACAGAGCATTTTTTTTTTTTTTTTTTCTGAGAGCTTCTTTTTCTGAAGTATAATACAATGGTAAAAAAGTCATTTTTTAGTTTGTTATCCATGTAATAATTTATTTTTTGTTCAAGTAATAATTTCTTAAATACAAACTGAAAAAATGCCTTTAATAATACTTGTGGAAGAAGATTGCAATAATCTCAGCAGATATTACCCAAATTATAAGGAAGCTAGAGGTCATGTGAAGGCATCAAAAGCTGTTTCAACTCACTTCTCTGTCCAGCAACCAAGTATTTATTTTTATTTCTATAGTATAAAAATGATCTTTATTTTTTCTACAGTATAATGAATATTAGATGCTTGCAGAATATTTTACATCACAGAATCCTAAAGATATTTTTATAGTGAGCATGCCTAATATATCAAGCTCAGGCTCATTTGTTAGTAATACAATGCCAGATTCACGGCATAGGCAAAATTCTTCCTTGGGGTCTCATGCTTGTCTTTTCTTACCTGTGAAATGAAAGCCATTGTTCTTTCCTGCCCATACTTCTTCCTGACCTAAGTAACTTGAACTCTGTTCTTTAGGATTTATTCTATAAAATCAGGGGACTGGACATAGAGAATCTCTAATAATCTGTGACTATCTGGATATTGAGGCAAATAAAAATTATAATGTATTACTCAAAATAATAAAAACTGTGAATATGCAATGTAAGGGGCATGTATTAATGACAAATACAAGTAAATCTTGATTTGTTTTTATTATTACAAATATCAGTGTCAGTGATTTGAGTTTGCTTGTGAAAAAGTCTTTTATATATTCCTTTCTGTGCTTTGCTAATTTTCCATTCTGTATTCCAAGGCAGACCAACAGATTGCAACAAAATCGGGTTAAACATTGATCTTCCGCCCTGACATTGCATTAACTTTTGTAATAAACATCTTCACTGTGTCAACCAGCACTGTGTTTACATATTGAACCCAGCAGCCAATTGTCTTACTTCTTTTAGGTGCTTTTGAATTCCAGAAGGAATCTTATCTGGAAGACTAGAATCATGCATCTGTCATGCCTTTCAATTTTGTATTTCAGATTAACTGCTCCTTTTCCTCCACGTTCTTAAGGTCTTCTAAGAAATTTCCTTCCCAATTCACTTGGTAAGTACCTGCTCAGGCTGTTATTCTATAATGAATTCGTGTCTTTTCTCCTATTTTTCCTGTGCCGCCCTTTTTATCTGGAGTCAGGATTCTGAGCTCTGACCTCCCTCCTTGTCATGTTGCCTGAGGAGAATTGCAGACAGACCCTCAGACCTCAAATATTCTAAATTTTGAAGTCCCAGCTTTGGCTGAGAGGAGGCCAGCATTGGAGTACAAGTAAGCACTGACATATATATTTTACTTACAGTCTCTGAAAATTAACTATTTCTGTTCAGGTTCAGGGACTGACTGAAAGTATGAGCCAATAGGTGTGCCTATCCATTACTGATCAAATATTCTCTATTTTTGAATGTTATGAAGAATACACATTTAGGAATTGGTTTTCATATCTGCAGATAGGGTCCATGCCGCTTGCTTCACTGAAGCAACACGTAGAAGCTGACTAACAAAGGAGAAGGCTGAGGAGAAATTGCTCCATGAGATAAGGCATCGCATTTATCCCTGAATGTTTCTCTCTCTCCAAACGCACAGAAACATGTCATAAAGTGTGGGATTAGGGTCTCTAAAGGACATGTAATACCTCATTCCTGGAGATGTGGTCTAAAATGAAAGGGTCAAAATCGATGGTCAAGTCACAACATTTATTCCTAGAGTCTTATTTTAATAAATATGAAGAGATCTGCAAAAATTGTATGCCTGGGAAAAAAATCCCATTCAGACCAACTGACCCAGACCAATTAACGACAACTCAGAGTAGTAGTAATGAAAAATTCATTAGACTAACTCCCATAATTTGCTAAAAGGGTATTTATACAAAACACTGTACTAAGTATATAACACAATATCTCATTGTGTGATCCTTATAATAGCTCTGTGAGGTACATGTCATTATTCCTATTTTTTAGACAGAAAAGTCTCTGATAAATAACTTGTCTAAAGTCACGTATTTACCACATTTACCAGAGTTATAACCCAAATTGGTCTGACTCTAAAAGCTCTTAGCCATTCAGTCCTATTGTAAAATAAGCACACCAGTGGAGAGCAATAGAGAATGGGAGTGCAGTCACGATGGGAGCCTGTCATTGGATCTTATGTATGCAGAGGTTCCTCCTTCCAGGAGAGCTTTACCCTTGTCCTCATTAACTTTTACGTCAATACATTCAATGCATTGCATTGGATTTCTAGATTGGGAGCTAAAAAAGGAAAAGATTTCTAAATATCAGCTATCTTATTTTACCAGTTTGCTTAAACAAGTTACAGAATATCTCTATTCATACTTTTTTTCCCTAAAAATCGGAATAAAACTACTCTTCAATAAGTGATTTTTAAAAATGATGATAAAATCAAAGGAATTTAGAATAATCCTTGCACATATTGGGCACTTAGAAAATTTTGCTTCCTTACTGTCTCCCTTCTCCTTACATTTCAATTTTGCGCAATGTCTCATGGCCTCTTCAGAGCAGAGACTATGTAGTATTTACCTTCATACCTTCAGACCAAATGCTTAGCATACAGTCAGTGGACAATTACTGGAAATGATTTAGAGACATTGAGAATTACTTCCTTTGAAATTTTAAGAGGTATGGTAAAACTTTGGTTTCAGAATATATATTTATTGATTTTTCAAATATGTATTTTTCTTATATGTTATGGTCAACCTCTTGAGATCTTTAGAAAAGCAAATTTTCCAGTATTTTTTTTTTTTTTTTTTGAATCTCAGGCCAAGAGAATTAGAACACTCCGTAAAATTACATAGGTATATCTGATAAAGGCCATACTCTGTTTTTCCATATAAGTGTAAAACTGTTGTATAAAAAATTACCTTCTGGCTAGGTGTGGTGGCTCATGCCTGTAATTTCAGCACTTTGGGAGGCCAAGGCATGCAGATCACTTGAGGCCAGGAGTTCAAGGCCAGCTTGGCCAACATGGCAAAACCCCCTCTCTACTAAAATACAAATATTAGCCAGGCCTGGTGGCGAGTGCCTGTAATCCTATCTACTGTGTAGGCTGAGGTGGGAGAATTGCTTGAAACCAGGAGGTGGAGGTTGAAGTGAGCCAAGATCATGCCACTGGACTCTAGCCTGGGCAACAGAGCAAGACTCTGTCTCAAAAATGTAAATAAATAAATTACCTTCTAAAATGTTATCCTCTTCACTCAAATATATACAGTAAAAGATGTCTGTCCAATAGTATAATATATTTTGTTTAGCAAAAATACATTAGTCAATTATTTATCTTAAATTTCCTTTTTCCTCCTCAGTCTAACATGTTTATTTTTATACTGGACTTTGGTCTATCCATTTCACATATGGCTTAACTATTTCCTATATAGATAGTTCAGTATCTGTTAGCTGCATAGCAACCTAATCCCAAAATGGTGTTTTAACATTTCCTCACCATCTCTGAGTTGTTTGGACTCAGCTGGACGGTTTTTCTGCTTCTTATGATGTCAGCAAGGGCTATAGTCATCTGAGGTCATGGGTGGCCTACAACATCCAAGATGGCTGCCTCCTATAACTGGCAACTGATGTAAGCTGTTGGTTGAGAGATGCTAATAAGCAGATCTCCTAAGTTTTCCTTGACGTGACCTCTCCATGTGGCTGGTTTCTGAGAAGGAGTACCCAAAGGGTAAACGTTTGAAGGGAAGGAAGCAGAAGCTAAAAGTCTCTTAAGGCCTCCTTTCTGTGCATTCAGTTGCTCAAAGACCATTGCAGATTCAAAGGAGGAGAAATAAACACTCCTGTTGACCTGATATGCATTAAAGAGAAGAAATTGGTGGGTCATTTTTAAAGACTGATTATTAAATATAAATAGTTATCCTGTTATATTTTTTTGTAAATGATTTCCTTGTCCATTCTACTGCTATAAATTTTTCTTCTGTATGTAAGAATTTAAAATCCGTGGTTTCTTTCTATGTACTAATCTACACATAGTTGTGTTTATCATTTGATAAATGATATGTCTTTGATGAATATATTACATGATACTGAAAACCTGATGTACCATTAAACATATAAATAAATATTTCACATTTTAGAATTCTGAGCTCTAACTCCTTCTTTAACCTCTGCATTAGAATTAGACAAAAGCACTCAGATTTAAAATATATTAAATGAGGCAGTGGGAGAGGTAGGTGGTGAAATAAAGTTTTTCGTTAGTCTTATTTTTTTCTTTTTGTTCATACATTTTGAGCTCTCAAAATAGCTGCAAAATGCTTTATTACATTGCTAATATATGCTTAATTTTAAAAAAATCCAAACTCTACCAAATTTAGCTAAATGAAATAATTATATGTTATATTGGTGTGTAAGAGGTGGGGAGAAGGAGCACATTCTAAACTTCCTTGCTCTTTTCTAAATTTGTCTGTGAGAGAGCACCGATTAAGAGTCAGAATTTCTAACTCCAGTGTGGATGGACTTCACTGGAGTAACTATTAAACAAGATGCATTACAAGTGTTACCATGATAATCAGGTGAAGTTATTAAATAGAAAAGAACATATTTCTGTCTTTTGTAAGGAGAAATACATCATTTCCATGGAGAAATGAAGGAACTCTCTGAAGCCTGGAAACCCCTGGGAGGGGAGCACATGTATTATTCTAGATCAGAACTAAACATTCCAGCATGGAGGATGACCTCACGTGGCCTCCCTGTCGAAAGGTATGTAAAAACAAATGTTATAACTATGAATTTGACATTAACCATGGGAAAATTTAAGACTCGTGAAAGTTATACATTATTGATGAATCTCTTTGGGAAACTTGTTGAAGTTATATGTCATTTTTTCATTCACTAATCAGACAGTAAGGTTATTGGGTCATGAATCGTAGGTATACTTAGCAAACAGTATTTCTATTGTGTAAGTTCTTTTTGTGCCTTTTCTTGTTATTAGATAAATTATACCTGGGTATTCTTTAAATGGGAAATTGTCTGCGCTCGTGTAATTGAAGCAACATTACATCTGTTAATAGAGAGCAGAAGGTATAATCGGAATTTTGTTACAAGTGGAAAAGAAGGAAATTAATATTCTTTTTGTTTTTAGACATGCAACCTATGTATTAAGTAAGATATTATTGATGGCAAGTACACACTGCTTGGCATTGATTTCTTCCTTGCTGCAAGGAGGTGGGCCCAAGGTGAATTCAAAATGGAACACAGGAAATAAGAAGAAAATATAGTGAAAGGCAAGAATTTGATTTGATGAAACTCATCACTAAATGATGAAACTGATTACTCAACGTATGTTATTACTAGAGCTTTTTAGTAGAGATATGATACTATCGGTGTGAGCCAATATAAAATTGCATTGTAATAAAGAGCCCTGGATCTGAAATGAGACTAGTTACTATCTCAGTGTTTGTTTGAATATCTTTAAGGTAGGGGTAAAAACCGAATATGAAGTAGGGTACATGAGAAAAAATTGTCATGATATTTAGGAGTTTTAGTAATAATTATATAAACATTAATGTTTCTGGGTAAGTTTCACAAAAGAAAAAATCTTGTAAGAAGCTAAAAGGGGTAAGGAAACCTTTCCCATAAAGGAACAAGGATGAGAACTATAGCAAAATTTCATCAGAAATCATGCAAGCGAGAAGAAATTAAAGTTAAATATTTGAATTGTTAAAAAAAAAACCCACCAACCTAAACTTCTGTATCCAGTAAAATTAACCTCCTAAAGTAAAAAAGAAAAAACTTTCTCAGACAAACAAAAACTGAGGTAATCCATTTTCAGTAGACTTCCACTACAACATGTTAAAACACGTTCTGCAGGAGAAGGAAAGTGATATAATATAGAATCTCAAATTTACGTAAACAAAGGAAGAAAATCACAGTAGTCCATAAAACAAATCTTAACAAATTTAAGACAATAGGAATTATATCAAATATCTTTTCTGAGCAAAATGGTATAAATCTAGAAATCAACAACCAAAATAAATAAATAAATAAATAAACCCCTCAGAAACTTTACAAATACATGGAAATTAAACAACATGGGTCTATACAACCAATGGGTCAATAAAAATGTTAAAAGAAAGATTAAAATTTTTACTGAGACAAACAAGAATGGAAGCAGATCATATCAAAACCTATGGGACACAGCAAAAGCAGTTCTAAGACGGAAGTTTATAGCAAAAACACCTATATCAGAAAAAAATAAAGACTTCTAATAAACAACCTACCAATGCACCTCAAGGAACTAGAAAAACAAGAACAAACAAAACCCCAAACTGGTAGAAGAAAGGAAAGAATAAAACTCAGAGCACAAATAAATGAAATAGAGACTTAAAACAATTTAAAAGAACAATGAAACAAAGATTAGGTTTTTAAAAATGATAAACCAAATGGACAAACCATCAGTTAGATTAACTTGGAAAAAGGAGAGAAGACTCAAGTAAAATAATTAAAAAGGAGACATTACAACTGATACCATAGAAAAACAAAGAATCATGAAATTATTATGAATGACTGTAAGTCAACAAATTTAATAACATATAAAAAATGGGTAAATTCCTCTACACATACAAGCTACCGAGATTAAATTATAAAGTAGAATATCTGAACAGATCAATGAGTGAGGAAATTGAAAGAGTAATAAAAAATCTCCATCAGAGAAAACCTTAGAACATGATGGCTTCACTGTCAAATTCCATCAAACTTTTAAAGAACTAATATGAATTATACCCAAACTATTCCAAAAAATAGGAGAGAATACTTCAAAATTCAATTTATGAGCTCATCATTACCCTGATTCCAAAATTGAAATAGGACACAACAGAAAAAAAATACCACAGACTCATATTCCTGATTAACAAAGATGCAAAAATTCTCATTAAAAAGATCATTTACTATGATGTAGTGGGATTCATCCCAGGGATGCAAGTTAATAAGTATAATCCACCACTTTAACAGACAAAAGAACATATAATACAAAAAAGACAAAGAACATATAATAATTACAATAGAAAAAAAATTTGACAAAATTCAATATCCCTTCATGTTAAAAACTCTCAACAAACATCTATCTATGTCTAGATATAGAAAGTATGTATTAAACACTTCAACAAAATAAAGGCCATATATGCCAAACTCACAGCTAATATCATCCCTAATGAGGAAGAGCTGAACAAGTTTTCCTCTATGATCAGGACGATCTTTTTCTGCTGTGATAAGCTAAAATTTCTATTATTTATTTAATTCTTCTCATGCATTTTACTCAGTACAGTTCAGTGATGAGAATGTTTATTCTATAGTGCTTGGAACATCTGGATAACTACATACATGAATTAAAGTCACAGAGCACTTAATACAAATTTTCTCCAAAAATAGGACATTTCATTTATTAAAATTTTACAGATAGGCATACAAGACTACAATAAATAACTGAAGTGAAGTTCTACAGTTTTTAAGAAGTCAGATAGGCTGGTCACATAGGCTCACGCCTGTAATCCCAGCACTTTGGGAGGCTGAGGCAGGTGGATTCCTTGAGCTCAGGAGTTCAAGATGAGCCTGAGCAAATGGTGAAACCTTGTCTTTGCCAAAAATGCAAAAACAATTAGCTGGGCTTGGTGGCACACCTGTGGTACCAGCTACTCAGCAGGCTGAGGTGAGAGGATGATTTGAGCCCAGGGAGGCAGAGGTTGCAGTAAGCCGAGATCACGCCACAACACTCCAGGCAGGTGACAGAGTGAGACCCCAGCTCAAAAAGAAAAAAAAAAGTCAGATGGTTATCTAACTCCAGGCTTTGTATATTCTGGTTCAGGGGTTATGGAGGAACATGGCCAATGTGAGAAACAACAGCAATGGTAAGCCCTTGGCAACACACTAAGAATATGGTTCCCCTTAATACGGAATCCATGGATACAGAAGCTGCAGCCAGCACACTTTATTTCTGTTAGTCATACTCTGTATAATTGATTTGTAATCTTTTTGGGGACAGGATAACTGTGGAGGAATTTTAATAAACTGGACTGATCTACTGATAAGGAGAAGGTCAGCCTTATCCTCACAAGTAAGCCCCCACACAGTGGTACTGCCAATTAACTGAGGAGAACCATGTCTCTATGCCAAGTATCCCCTGCTGAGTAATCCCTTCCACTGCCCCAGCATCTGAGATGAGGGTGTGGATATTTAGCTGAGCAGGACAAGGATGCCCACTTTCACTACTGCTGTTCAGCATAATACTGTAAGTCTTAGCCAGAGCAATTAGACGAAAGAAACAAAAAGAAGGCATCCAAATTGCAAAGGAGGGTTCAAATTGTTCTTATAAAATTCATATGAAACTACAAAGACCCTGAATAACCAAAACAGTCCTAAGCAAAAAGAACAAAGCTGGATGCATTACACTACCTGACTTCAAAATATACTACAAAGCTATAGTAAACAAAACAGCATGGTACTGTCATAAAAACAGACACATAGACTAATGGAACCAAATAGCCTGCCCAGAAATAAATTAACACATCCACAGCCAACTAATTTTCAACAAAGGTACCAAGAACATACATTGAGGGAAAGACAACCTCTTCAATAAATAAGTGTTGGGAAAATTGAATATCTACATGTGGAAGACTATGACTAGACCACTACCTCTCAACATATACAAAATCAACTCAATATAAATTAGACTTAAATGTAAAACTAAAAACTATGAAACAACTAGGAGAAAACATAGAGAGGAAGCTTTATGAAATTGGGCTGGGAAAGTGTTCTATTTTTTTAACAAGGCTGCAAAGTCACAGGCAACAAAAATAAAAATAGACAAATGGAATTAAATCAAACTCAAAAGCTTTTGTACAGCAAAGAAAACATTGACACAGTAAAGAGACAACCTACAGAAGGAAAGAAAATAGACAAAAACTTTATGTCTGACAAGAGGTTTATATCCAGAATGTATGAAACTTAAACAACTCAATAGAAATAGAAAAAATAACACAATAAAAAAATGGGCAAACTTTAATAGATATTTTTCAAAAGAAGACATGCAAATAGCCAACTGGTATATGAAAAATGCTCCGTGTCATTAACACAAAGTAAACCCACAATGAGATACCACCTTACTCCAGTTGGAATGGCTAATACCAAAAATATAAAAGAAATCAAGTATTGGCTAAAATGGTGAGAAAAGGAAACACTTACACACTCTTGGTGGGATTGTAAACTAGTACAGCCATAATGGAAAACAGTATGTAGGTTCCTCAATAAATTAAACACAGAATTACTATATGATTCAGAAATGCCACTACTACATGTATATCCAAAGGAAAGGAAATCAGTATGTCAAAAAGATATTTGCACTCTCGTGTTTATTGCAGCACTAGTTACAATAGCCAACATATGGAATCAACCTAAAAGTTTAACAACAGATAAATGGATAAGGGAATTGTGAGATACACACACACACACACACACACACACACAATGGAATATTACTCAGCTGTGAAAAAGAATAAAATCCTATCATTTGTGACAACAGGGATGAACCTGGAGAATATCATGTTGAGTGAAATAAGCCAGAGACTAAATGACAGATACTGTATAATCTCACTCATATGTGGAATCTTTTTTAAAAAACTTGATATAAAACCAGAGTAAAACAGTGGTTACTAGAGACTGGGAAAGGGAGGAGGAATAATAGAATGGTAAGAAGTTGATCAATTAGT